TATCAACCAATCACAGCAACCCATTTCACAGCATACAGAAAGATGTCCCACAGCACCCTGTCTCAAATACAAAACAAAACAACAACAACAAAAAAACAAAAGCAAAAACAGTTGATCGGTCACCCCAGCCTCTGTCCCTTTTGTGGCCTCCAAGTTGCCTGGTCTAGGGCCTGGTAAACACAGGCAGAGCTTAGAGCAGTGCTTTCCTGAATCTGTGGTCAAACAGTGGTGACCAGAAATGATGGGGGTACTCTGGGAAATGGGGGTGAGCTGAGGAGTCGCAGACCCTCTCTACAGCATACCTCCCCATCCAGGGGAGGGCCAGGAGGCCCCCCTTCCTGGGTTGTGTGTACAGGCAAGTGTGAACATGTACTGTGAGTGGGTAAGTATACAAGCATGTATGTGTGGGTGTAGGAGTACTGTCTTCGTACATGTGTGCATATGAACATGTGAGTGGGGATGTGTGTGTGAGGGACGGCCGGATGTGTGAAGAGTGCTGGGACTCCAGGGAGACAGGACAGCGGAGCTTCCAGCAGAGTGGGTGGGTGGGTAATGAAGGGGGCGAGGGAAGGCAGTGCCCCCCTCCTGGCTCCCAACCCCGCTTCCTGTGCTGTGTGGCACAGGTGCAGGGGAACCTGGGAGCCCCAAGAGCTGAGGCTTCAGCCAGGTGGACAGACTGTTGAAAGGGGCACCGAGGAGGTTCAATCCTGTACCTTGGGAGCACGTTCGCGAGGGAGCGGACGGGAAGGTCAGCGCACCTCTCTGTATGAATGCAATGGCCTTCACCACCAAGCCACCGGAGTGGCTTTTATCCCGAGGGCACAGGGGAGCACTGCAGAGTTGGGGACAAAGGAGTACTGTGTCCTAATCCCTCTGTCTGTGCAGTCCGGGCCAGGCTGCTGAGGGCTGAGTGCGGGAGCCACAGAAGTACGGCGAGTGGACTTGGGACAGGGTGGGGCAGAGGAAGCAGAGGAATCCAGGTAAGCAGGCCCTCTGTCTAACTGGGTCCTAGGTCTTGTGGGTGTGAGGGAGAGGCCAGGCAGGAAGCATGATTCTTACACTAACACTAACCAGACCCCCATGTGAGACTACAAAACGCCTCGATTTCCCATCAGCCTTGCTGAGGCTCATGACCTGGCTTGCCGTTGCCTCCAAACAGCAGGAGATAAAGCCCAGGTGTCTGATAGCTTGATGGAAAAGTGATGGTTCTTTTTTTTTTCTAAGACGGAGGTTCAGTGGGGGATGGTGGCATAGACCTTTAATCCCAGCACTTAAGAGGCAGAGGCAAGGGATCTTTGTGAGTTGGAAGCCAGCCTGGTTTACAGTGAGCTCCAGATCAGCCAGGGCTACATAGTGAGACCCTGTCTCAAAACAACAAAACATAACAAGACAGGGTCCACGTGAACCAAGGCTGGCCTCAGACTCACTGTGTAGCTAAGGATGACTTTGGGTGTGAGTCACCAGATCAAACCCGGGGCCTCGTGCATATTAATAAGCAGACAATCTACCCACTGACCCACATCTTCAGCCTTAAGCAGTGGTATCTTTGTATTATCGAACTCTAGTGATGGGAACTGAGCCCAGGGCTTGGCTTGCTGAAGGTGAAACCTACCCTGATTGTGTTCCCAGGGCTAGCTGACATCTCATCCACCCCATCTAAGAACTGCTGGAGCGTGTGAAGGGGCTGGTCCTGCAGAGCCAAAGCTGCAGGATCTCCATGACACAGCGAGACAACAGGATACCGGAGAGGAGTCCCTCTCAGAGGATCTAGTATTGATAGTGTAGCAGAAGCCAGAGGCCTCAAACCAGACCAAGGACTCATCGCAATGGACATTTGCAAGCAAAACTGGGCAAAAGGGCAGACTGTGCGACACACCATGACATGCCACAGCTTCCACGGCGAGATTCTTTTGTTTTTTACTTTTTATTATTTAATTTGTTTTCTTTGGGGAGGGGAGGTTGTAAAGGTGGAGGGCGGATACGCAGGGAGAGGGAAGATGAGTGGGATTGGGATGCATGACGTCAAGTTCACAAAGAATCAATAAAAAGTTACAAAAAAGATGGACACACATTCCAACATGCCAAGTTTTTAAAGCCCAAGACATCACCCTCTCCACAGAAGGGTGCGATGCTCTTTACTGTCCCAGAAGCCTTTGGGTGTTAGCACAAAACAAAGGGTCAGTTACCAGGAGTCACTCCAGTTGAAAAATGTTTTCAAGGTCATTTTATTGTTGTTTTGAGACACTGTTTCATCATGGAACTCTAGCTGGCTTGGAAGTGGCTCTGTAGCCCAGGCTGGCCTTGAACTCACAGAGGTCCACCTGCCTTGGCCTCCCAAGTGCTGGGATTAAAGGAAAATGCCATCACACCCCACTGAACATTAAAACAACAAAAACTCCCCAGAGCTGTTTTCTGTGTGCTCCCTATATCCCCACCCCTCCCCTCAAGAGAGTGAACTGAGGCTCAGAGCTGAGGGCCAACAGGCAGGGCCTGGTGTCCCACCCCATGACAGTCAGAAGTTCATGGGCCTTCTTTATGTTCTCCCTGTGGACTGAACTTCTTATCAGTTAGTAGGGCTTGCCATTTGTGACAAACACCTGCCTTCCAACCCACGGGTGGCAGACACACAGTGCAGGTCTGCAGAGGGAGGAGGCGGGCCCAGGGAACCAACGGAACCAGCCTAGGACACCGAGAGTCCCCCACTGGGGCTTCCCCTGGGGCCCCAAGCAGATTTAGTAGTAACTAATTAGCAGGACACAGGGCTGGCACTGGAACAGATCTGGGAGCTCAGGGGAAGAGGGACTGAGCTGCCTGGAGTGAGGGACTACGAACCACGCAACCATGACGTCTCAGCTAGGAACTTGGGCCCCCTGGCTCAGGGCTCTCCCGAGGAGTGGGCGGGACATCCTAGCAATATGTTCGTATGTGGGCGCATCCTGGTGTGATGGCTATTCTTGGTTATTAGCTGGACTACATCTGGAATCAATTCAAACCCAAGCGGCTGGGTACACCTGTGAGGAGATTTCTTTCTAAATTAAATCATTTGAAGTGGGAAGTTCCACTTTTAACCTGGATCTTTGAGGTGGGAAGACCCACCTTTAATCTGGGTCCACCGTCTGGTAGTTGCCTATATAAAGGGTGTGGCAGAAGGAAGCTCGCTCTCTGCCTGCTTGCTCTCACTCTTGCTGAAGGGTCCATTCCTTCCCTGGCATTAGAGCCTACTTCTTATGTATAGTCCATCAGTTCTGTTCCTCTGGAGAATCCTAATCTAACTGGCTATGACTGTTCGCGATGCTTACAGCAGAATTCCCAGCACACAGTCGAAGCCTCTGCCCATTAATTCCACTTCCACCTCTCAAAGGGGTTCCAGAGAAGTGAGGGTTGGAGATGAAACTTTGCTGGTGCTGAGGGCGGCAGGGCGGCACAGCTTAGCCAGGTCCCAAGCCTACCTCACTTCCCTGAGAGCCCGCAACAACCCGGCCAGCTTCTAGCCAGGGATTCGATTCAGGTTCCAGCCTGATGCCCTGCCTGTCTTGAGACGGGGATGGCTCTTGCTCCCCTGGGCCCCTGGAGGTCTCTTTTCCAAAGCCCTGTGTGTTGGCTAGTTTTATGTCAATTTGACACAGGCTAGTCATCTGAGGAGGGAACCTCAATCGAGAAAATGTTTCCGTAAGATCCAGCCGCAGGCAAGCCTGTAGGGCATTTTCTTATTTGGTGACTGATGGGGGAAGGGCACGATCCATTGTGGGAGGGGCCACCCCTGAGCTGGTGGTGGTGGTCCAGGCCTTTAATCCTAGCACCCAGGAGTGAGAGACAGGTTGGATCTCTGTGAGTTGGAGGGTAGCCTGGTCTACACAGTTCCAGGACAGTTAGGGCTACGTAGAGACCCTGTCTCGAAACAAAACAACGACAAAAGAAAACAGGCCCAAGAAGCCATGAAGAGCCAGCAGGAACCCCCCATGGCCTCTGCATCAGCTCCTGCCTCCAAGCTCGTGCCTCACCTTCCTTCAGTGGTGAGTCTGGATATGTAAGCCAAAACAATGAACTCTTTTCCTCCCCAAGTGGCTTTTGAGCCTTGCTTCATCACAGCAATCATGACCCTGACTAAGACACCCTGTGAGTTCAGCATGTGCCCTGACCACAGGCAGCACAGACACTCAAGCAGGCCACCCCAGGTGGGAACAGGCTGTTTCTCCCACCCTGGGGCGCAGGGGACCTTCTGTCCTAACATCTCCAGCAGATCCCCTGGCCCCACAAGGCCTGCAGTTCAAGCGTGAAGTCGCTGCTTCCTATCCTATTTTCTGGCCAGGTCTGGTCACTCTGCTCCTGGGTCTGTTATTCCCAGAAGACAATCAAGACCTGAGTGCTTTGAAGGGTTTGGGGGCAGGGGGCAGCATGTGATCAAGAAGGACCAGACTCTTCCTGGCTCTTTAAAGAGGATCTCCATGGGACAGAGGCCAACTCCAGGCATGGCTTGTCAGGCTAAGTCGCTGGGCTGGTGCAGGCCTGTAGCAATCCTTCCAGCACTCAAGAACACTTATGCCCATTGACCAGGCAGTGGAAGCAGCCCATCTGCAGACCTGGGAGGTCCTACCCACCCTCAGACTCTGGGTATACCTCTCCAGAGGTAGAGAACCACTCCTAGGGCAGATGGGAAGGCTGGGCTGCCTGTCCCACCAGGCCAGGAGGGTCTTCAGCAACCCCCACCAAACAAAGGGCAAGATCTGTAGATTTCATGTGACCCCCTTCCCTCCCTGGCTGCAGTGGGTCCCTCCCAGCCAATGCTTGGGGGCTTGGACCAGGGATCCACAGTAGTTCCTGTCTTATACCTAAGCATCATCCATTAAGGTTGCAGGCCTACCTTATATACTTTCTGGACAGTGGGAAGAGTGGACAATGGGCAAGTAGCCATGGCCTCAGCTTGGGAATGTGCCCCTGGCAGGAGGGAGAAGTTCCATGAGGTGGGGGTCCCAGAAGGACACCAGGGGGAAGACAGGAGCCTGGAGCTGTAACTTTATTTCATGCCTTCCTGTTTCGTGGCCACCCAGGGCAGAGGGAGGCAGATCTGGCTGTGGCGTGAGTCCCGTCACTGTGGGGGCCAAGCTGGGCTGGCCTAGGCAGAACCCACTGGCTTCACATTTTCCTGGGTAGGTGTGGGCACCAAGGGTGGGGCAGGAAGGAGGGCACATGGTGACCACATCCTCGAGGTGGCTGAGTATCTATCTGGGTGGTGCCAACGGGACGTTCCAATCAGACCTGGGGTGAGTATGGGAAGTGGAGAGGTTTTCCAACAGACTGGGAGTATAAAGTGACCAAGGCAGTGTGACAAGGGGGCTGGCGAGATTCGGAAAGAGTAACAAGTCTCTCACGCACACCTATACAGACACGCGCACACACACACACATACACGGGCCAGTAAAAACAGGAACTAACCTCAGGTCATCACACCACACTCGGTCGGCTTCCGGCTGCATCAAAGTCAGACACACTGGAGCGACCACCCCGCCCAAAGTCAATGAATATTCCTTCGGAGTCTGAGTCCACGGACTCCAGGATCTGGTCCACCAGGGTCTCGGGGCTGGAGGTGGGTGGGGAGCCGTGGGCTGGGCCCTGCTCGGGAGAATGGGCAGGGGGGTACAGTCTGCTGGGGCAAGGCCCTGAGTGGGGTGTTGGAGAGGACCTGAAGGTCCCCGAGGGGCCCTGACCAGGTGTGTCCACAAAGCCCTGGGGCTCAGGACAAGATGTCATCTCGGAGACTGAGTGCCTGCGGATGCTTGTACCACCGGCCGCTGTGCCCTCCGCTTCGTGCTCAGCCACGGGGTTGAGCAGGGGTGTGTTGTAGCTTTTGGATCGCACCACCGGGTTCTTGGCTAGGACGTCCCCAGAGCGGGAGCGGCGCAGAAGCCGTTTCTCTGCAGGAAGAGACACAGTCATGGACACCAGGACGGTGGCTGCTGCTGCCCCACGTGTTCCCTGCATGTCCTAAGTCCCACCTCTGGGCAGAGGCTCCTCCTCAGGTGTCTAACCCACAGATGGGCCACCCAGTAAAAGGCTCAGTGGCCACTAGTTCTGGATCAGCCAGCCTCACCAGCCCCTGGGCACAAGCCTCCTGCCCTAGCTAGAGGACTTTAACATTCCCAGGCTTGGCCTGAACAGGCAATGGGGCCTCAGCTGCTCAGGTTCAAATCTGCAAGCTGCCAGTGACCTGTGAATGACCGTACATCCATGTCTCCCCTTCCTCACCCACGGAAGCCTATGGATCTTAGGTACCAGTCTTCCCTAGGCCGCGTCAGAGTAAGGCTCCCAAGCAGGACCCTGCAATGCCCCACAGTAACCATGGGGTGGCACTCCTGAGTACAGATCAGGAGGGGTGGCCTTCTTGACTGCCAGGTATCCTTCCAGGTCCTGGGAGGTGCCAAGCTCTCCAGCACGAACTTGCCTGAGCTGAGGGACACCTAATACCAGGGCTTTATACCTCAGGTAGCAACCCAGATGATGGGGAGCCTTCCAAGTGACCCCATCTTGCCTGTTCCTACGATCTAGTCTGCATCCCCTCCGGCAACCCAGTGGTCACCATGGGGACTCACTGACACACCTTCCCCGCCAGACCAGAATTACGAAGAAGGGTGTGGCTTGGTCCCTGGGCTGGGAATGCAGAAGGTGCCCAGATACCACTGAACAGGGGATGACATGGCTGGCCTCTGAGGGACCCACCAGACTCTATAGGGCCTCCTTTTCCCTCACCCCTCCCTGAGCCAGTACAGACATGACATCTAGGGGATGCGGGAGGCTCCCCGCATGGTGGGTCTCTGTGGAGAGCCATTGCTGTTCTAGGGGTTACCTGCTACCCTCCAACACCCTCTACCCTGGGGGTCCAGGCGTGCACACAGCAGGGCCAGGCAGGTGCACAGGACAGGCAGGCTGTGTGACTGTAGCTGGTCTCCTGGTTTTGCCCACACTATCGCTCCAGCCCCAGCCCCAGGCAGCACCCACCAAGAATGCAGGAATGGGTGCAGGACCCTTCGCTGGAGTAGAGGCCATAGGTGCCCAGGTACGGTGACACCACCTTCTGGATCAGTGTCTCCAGGCGCAGGTAGTCCTCGGTCACACCCCTGGACTCATGGACTCCCTGCAAGAGAGTGGGGGGTCACACACCCTGGTCCAGCAGCAGCTTGTCTCTGCCCCATCTTCCCCAGGCAGGAAGATGCTGCTGCAATCTCATTCCCTAGCTGGGCGCCCTATAGTCACATACATGACAGACCCTGAAGTCACAGGCACCGGTGTCCTGGGGGTCCTGGGTGGTCCTTTGAGAGACAGCTGGCTTGACCCAGGAGCACCACGCTTATCACTGGAGGTCCTACACTCATTCACTGCTCATGCCCGGGGGGTGGGTGGTGGGTGGGGAGGGGGGGTCCAGGCAGGAAAGGCTGCTCATAGGGTGAGACAGGTCCCCAGGCCATGTTCGTTTTGAGATCAGGTCTCATTATGTATTCTAGGCTGCCCTGACCATGAGATCCTCCTGCCTCTGACTCCCGAGAGCTGGGATTGCAGATATGAGCCACGCGACCCTGCCCATACACTTCTGTGAAGTCACATCTCCCCTGCCTATGGTACAAATGAGACTCACACATGGCTGTTAGTGTGACTGGCACCCCACCCCTCGGACCCCCAGCAGGAGCTGTGATTCTGGGGGTGAGGCTGGGATACACAGTAGGCTCTCAACACACCTCAGAGGAACTCAAGACCTGAAACAGTGAGGGCCAGGTTCACCTGGGGGGCCAAGGTGAGATCAGGGGACAAGTTCACAGCAACGTCAGGGCAAGGTCCCTCAGGCTGGGGAGGGGTGGCGGGCGGAACAATGGAAGCCTCTGTGGTATAGAGGCTAGGCTGGGATGTAGAACCACAGCCAGGAAGCTGCAGGAGGCAGAGTAGCCAGCAGGGGGCAGCACTGCTCTGGGCATTGGTTGCCTCCTCCAATGGAATCTCAGATCCCAGGACCAGAGACCTGATCTTCCATCTCGCCCAATTCCCTTCACACCCTGCCAGGCTGGATCTAGTCTACGGAAATCCCACCCAAAGGCTTGTTTGCACTTGGCTTCATTCCAAGGTGACCACAGCCTCCAACCCAGGGCAGCCCCCGGGCCCTGAAAACCCTGGAAACTACAGCCTGTTCTTGCTCTGAAATCTTTACCATTTCCTTCTGCCCTAAGCCCAACCCCATAAACCCTAATTTTAAGAGGATTCCACAGGTGGGGGCGGGGGTCATTGCAAGGCTTTTGGTGCCTATGAGAATCCAAGTGAGGTCGTACTCCCATGAACAGTAAAATGTTTCCCTGTTAGTAAAATGGGGGGGCAGTTGGTGGAACCTCTAAAGTCCTGTAAGGATTTCAAGCTGTGAGAACCCAGTAAGGCGAGCTGGCAAACTGTAAGGGGATGTGCCAGATGCAGGACACATGTGCTGTTGTGGTCCTCTGTCCTGGGGCAGGCCCCTTTACTCCAGCCATACTTGCTGGCCACTGTCTCTTCTCCTAGCCCCATTGACGGAGTCCATCTGTACCAAGTATCTGGAACCAGTGTGTGTGTGTGTGTGTGTGTGTGTGTGTGTGTGTCCCCGTCCGTCCACCCCTGGTAACTGATCGAACATACAGCCGGCAGCTGCTGCCATCCATAAGTAATTCTGGTCTGGTTCACATCCCGGCCCCAAAGCCTCCCCTGCCCATTCCCTGCCCAAGAGTCCGTCTCTATCCATCATTCCCCAATCTCAGAGTCTTGGGCCCCCAAACCCTCGACCCACCTGCAGCACCAGCAGCATCTGTGCGATGGCCGGGGGGACACGAGCGTGGGAGCGGGCCAGTGCGTCCTCCAGCTTCACGCTAAGTGTGATGGTGTTCCGGAAGTGCAGCAGGGCCAGCTGGCGCACCGACGGCTCCTTGCCCTGTGGACACGGGAAGAGGCAATGCTCGCCCCACGGCTATCACACAGTTTTCTCTCTCTCTCTGTCCCAGGTCAGGAGTGGCATGTGGGGACAGGCCCGGTGACACCCAGCCTTTCCCCCATTCTCTCTCCCACACGAACCCGGCCACAAAGACCTAAGATTCCCCGAGGCCTCCCCTAGAAGGGCTTTCTCTATCATGCAGGGCCTGGCTGCTCTACTAGGCTTCCCTACTCCAGGCCTTATGGACCTTGAGGAGTCACAAGCATGCCAGGCCTGTAAGGGACAGCCAGGATCAGTGCAGAGGCCTGGAGTCCTCCTTCCTGGAGCCATCCCAGGACCCCACAGTGTATCTTGGACAGCTGGGACTCCCCCTCACTCCCACGCACCCAGCCACATACCTGCACGGGGTAGAAGATGGCCTGCAGCGTGGGTAGCACGTCACTGAAGAAGAAATCCCAGGTCTCCGCCAGCGAGTCTAGCAGCTTCTGTCCTGTGGGCAAGAGAAGCCATCACGGCGGCATGTCCTGAACACGTGCAGGACAAGGAGCTAAGCAAGAGTGGGAGGTCCCTGAGACCCCGCAGAGGCCTCACCTGCCCCAGCACAGGGCAGCTCTCTGTGTGTTCATGACATCTAGAGCAGATGGGACAAAACGAGACGAAGCCATGAAGACGCTCAGCCCAGGTGATGGTGAATCCTGGCGGCTGACTCCTGTCCTGCCTGGAGTATGCCGCCACAGGCGCTGGACACAGACCCTTTCACCAAGCTGTCTCTTCCCCATCCGCCCATCGACTTCGAGAACTCCTAACTGGGACAGGCCCGATCTTGGGCATTGGGGACAGTCAAGTCCCCAATGGCGCTGGACACCCCTTACTATGCGGCAGGGAGGCAGGATACAGAACAGCCCCGGGGAAGACAATGGGTCAAGAGTGGCTTCTAGCTAGGGTCAGTGACCCAGGCTACAATATTCCAACCTACTTGGGGGAGATGGGGCAGAGGGTCGGCAGGGAGGACTTCCTGGAGTTGTCCGGTGTCTAAGCTGGATTCCCAGACGGATATATGTTGGGCATGGGACACCCGCCCCTACCCCATCTCTACCAAGAGAAAAAAGCAGCTGTGTGGGGAAACTGGAGTTTGGACAAGCTGTAGGAACTCAGCCGGCCTCAGGCAGAGTGGCATCACCAGTCAAGTGGGTAGCCATTGGGGAATGGGGCAGTTAGGTGCCCCAAGATGACTCTGTGGCTTGGAATCTGTCACCGGGGTAGACAGCAGAGACGGCTCTAGGAGTGAACAGACCCAGCAGGTGTCCCATTGGCGTCTGCTGCCATGTGGGTCTGAGCAGGGAGGGAAAAGGGTCCTTGATTGCGGGCCAGCCTGCCCGTCTCCAGGTTTCTATGGGAACAAGGAAGCCCGTGAAGGTCTTTGCCCAGCTTTCCAGTACTTGTGGAACTTTCCCTCATGGAAAGCCCCAGGTCCGTACAGAGTGAAGATGTTGGGGGGCACAGAGAGCTAGCCCCAGGAGCAGGCTGGCCTCTGTGTGTGGCCGCCCAGGGCTGCCCGCTGGCGGAGAGCTCTAACATTCCCGGGTGGCCCACACCTGGCTCCAGGGGCAAGGAGGCCGCAGGAATGCCCGGGGCAGGCGGATGCTCGCAGCCCCTCGGAGCCCTGCCTGAACACAAAGTCCCTTCAGTTCCTGCCATCATACAGGAAGAAAGGCTGTTCAGTCCTGGCTGGCTGCGGGGTGGCCCCTGGGCGCCGGCCAGGGCAGTGTGCCACCAAGCGAAGGTCGTCCTCCGGCCCACAGGGCGGACACACCACAGAAAGCAGATGTTGGAAGACACAGAACCCAGGCCCCGGCTGGAGCTGTGTGCTGTCAGAGACCCGGAAGGATAGCCTGGTCCCTGGCTGGGTTCTCGCCTGGGACTGCGGACTGGGCTGTGTGCTGGGGAGTGGGGTCAGCAGAGGCTAAACTCCGACACGAAGGTTGGAGCCTTGCTCTGTGGCTGTGGCGGAGCCCTAAAAAGTTCTTCTAGACAGACCTAGTGGCACCTAATGGGGACTTATCCTCGTGACAGGGATCGATGACAAGGTACCCTGTGTTTGCTGCTGGTATGACACAGCCAGTGAGTGTGTGAACCCTGCCTGGGCCCCAGGCAGAGGTGGAGCAGAACGCCCTGGTGAAGGGCCAGGCTGAGGCTCCGTGACGGCTTTCACGGGACAGTTAGGCTCTCCCTTCTTCGGCCCCAGGGTGGTAAGAACCAACGGAAGAGAGGCAGGCGGGTACAGTTCCAGTCCACAGGCACACAGGGAAGGCTCCAGTGACCACGGAGAAATAATAGAGGTGGGAGCTGATGTTGTCTACGCTGGGGCTGAGGCATGGGCGCAGGCGGGCAGGCAGGGATAGAGGAGAGAGTGCTATGCACAGTCACATTAACTACACTCAGTTTGGCTCCTGGGTTTGAGAAGATACAGACCCCAGCCTCAAGAGCCACAGACCCCTGCGCCCGCCTGCGTGCTGAGCTGGGAAGCTTTCGTGAGGTGCCAGGCTATTCCCCTGCAGAGTACTCCTGCTCCAGCTGGCTGCCGACTCCGGGAATCACCCAGTTTGGGAGACGATGCCTGAGGCCTCCCTAGAGGCTGCAGAGAGGGGACGGGTGCCCAGGCTTGGACTGCTCTCTGGAGGCTACCACCTGCTTCCACGTGTCCCCTCTAGCAGTTATGGGCTGAGGGCACGGCTGGCGTCAGGGAGCAGTCTCAAGGGGTTGAATTTCACGAGGTGGAGAGAGCCTGGGATGGCAGTGGTGTGGCTGAAAGGGAAGGATAAGCTCCTGGGCAGCCCACACCTGGAGGCCACATCCAGGGACTGCAACACAGCTCTGCACAGCTGTCCCTGTGTGCGAGGATGGGGTCACCCTTCCTTCCCCAGTTTCCCTTCACCTGACATTCATCACACTGGCCTGTGGACATCTGCTTTATGTCTCGGTCCTCAGTTGTGAGTTCCAGCAGGGTAGGGCCTGTATCTTTTCCATCTCCAGGTCCAGGGAGACTCCCTGGAGCCCTGGCTTGGACATAGCTCCTTCTTTGCTCCAGTGGTTAAGAAAGGGGCCCCGAGGGCAGGGCGGCTGCAATACGTGATATCCACGGTGTATTCACAGATGCCTGGAGCTTGCCGCTTTCCCTGGGCCAAGAAGTCGGACAGTCCTGTCCTCTCCTCTTTCCCCGGGAGGCCCTGAGTCACAGTCACGAGGCTCCACAGGCCTCACAAAGCTGCCCTTCTCCCAAGACCTGGCTCCCCTGCGCTGCGTTGGTGGGAGACACAGGCACCTCAGGGAATGTGCTGAGTCAGGCGGGTCAGGAGGGGGTGGGAGGCCTCTTCCTCAGGTGCCAAACATTCACTGCGCCATCCTAGGCCTGGCTACTGCCTCCCCCGGGAAGCCCCCTGTTTCCCTGGCTGCCCCGGGCCTCCTGCCCACACCCACTGTTTTCAGGCTTTCTCATTCTTGCCTTGGCCTGCCTTCTCTGACACACGTAGGAAGACGGCAGGGAACAGGGAGTCCCTTGGAGCGAAGCAGGACTCCGGGCCTCAGCCCCCCAATCTCTGAAGTGGGCTGACAGCCATTTGCCCAGGGCCCAGCACTTGGGGGAGGAACCTGGAGCCGTGAGCGACTTGAGTGGGCTACCGAAAGCCAGCCATCTGCTCCGTACCTGAGCTGCCATGTATAGAGTGTGACCCTGACAGGACTGAGTATTGGTGGCTCCTTCCCAGGGCTTGCTGGGGCGCCCGCCCAGTCAGCAGAAGCAAACCAACCAGGACATAACCTAGTGGAGACCACACCTGGTGCTTGGCCCACGGGAGACGCTCAACGAATGCACACAAAGCCCACAGCCAGCCAGCACAGAGCCAGGCCACAGTAAACGCTTTTTTCTTTGTCTTCCTTCCTTTTTCTTGTCTTTCTTCTTTATTTTTTGGTTTTTTTTTTTTTTTTTTTTTTTTTTGTTTTTTTTTTTTTTTTGTTTTGTTTGTTTTCTGAGACTGGGTTTTTCTATTTAGTCCTGGCTGTCCTGGAATTCATTATGTGGAACAGTGAATTCATTCACTATGGCCTTGAACTCAGAGATCTGCCTGCCTCTGCTTCACCACCGGCTGGCCATAATAGGTACACTTTTATAGAACACTCAAATCCTGAAGCCAGAATAGGAACTAGTATACAGAAAGTCGGTGCTTATGAAATGCTCACAGCCTGAAGCCGGTCTAGGACCCAGTACATAGTAGGTGTTCATTAAATGCTGCTCACCAAATGTGCTTACCAAAGTCACCCCGGCACACAGCAGGAATTTGCAAAGGAGCATCTGTATATACCGAGTCTTCTGGACACCAGCCATACTAGAGTGCCAAGCTCCTCCTGGGACCCCAAGACTATCAGATGCCAGGGGCCTTGAACGCTGGGACCAGGAGGTCAAAGCCCTCTGCCCTATGACGCAGGTTGAGCCAAGCAGGGAGGCTGGCTGGGACTGTGGAGCCTGAGAAAGGACTAGGGGTGCCCTGACATCGCACCAAGGCTTGAATTCTGCCTCAGCCCCTTCCCTGTCACGTGGCTGTGGACAAACTGCCTACTGTCTCTGTTGTCCCTGTGTGGGGACAGTGACCTTTGTCATCATCTACTTCTCTGGTCTTTGGATGTTCACAGACTCAACATGGTAACTGTCAGACAATGGGGTGGGGTTCCTGTTATGGTCTGGATATAAGGTAGCCCCTGAAATAGCTCATGTGTTGATGGTGTGGTCACCATCCCATAGCCAGGGGCGCTGTGGAGGTAACTGGATCATGAGGGCGCTGGCTTCATCACAGGATGGATCCATTGACTAGTTCAGAGTCAAATGTGCCTTAGGAGGTGGGGCTTGGTGGGAGGAAGTGGGTGGCATGTGTGATGGTTAGTACTGGCTGTCAGCTCAACAGGCTTCAGAACGGGGGAATCTATCCGCCCTGGGTATGTCTACGAGGGAGTCTCCAGGCTGGGTTAACTGAGGTGAGAAGACCTGCCCTCAATGTAGTCAGCCCGATCCAGACACTGGGGTCCTGGACCGAGTCAAAAGGAGAATGTGAGCTGAGCATCATTCACCTCTCTGCTTCCGGGCTGTCGGTACCATGTGACCTAGTTCCTCATGCTTTCCCCATCATGATGGGCTGCAGGCTCCGACTGTGAGCAAAATATCCCCTTCCTCAAGCTGGTTTTGCCATGAGAGCGAGAAACACAACTGATGCACTGGAGGCTAGGGAAGGTACGCTTTGCCTCTGGTCTCTTCCTGTCTCTCTGCTTCCTGGCCAGAGGCTGGTCCTGGCGAAGAGCTGTGCTAAGCCACATGCTCTGACATGACACTGGCTTCATCCCGGGCTCAACGTGATGAGGTCACTACCCACTGGGGTGGTGCCCCTCCGCTTCATCTCACTACCCACTGGGACTGTCCCTGGACCTCTGACACTGGGAGCCAAAATAAACCCTGTCCCTCTGTGATGGTTGGCTTTGCCGACTTGACACAGCCCACCATCACACAGCAAGAGACTCACTCAGAAATGATCTAGATCAGGTTGGCTTATGGGTCTCTCAGCGGGGGCACTGCCTTGATCCCCAGTTGATACGGGAAGACCCAGCCCTCTGGTGGGTGGCTCCAATTCCTAGGCAGGGGGTCCTAGACTGTGTAAGAGAGAGCTGAGAACAGCAGACAGCAGCATGCACGTGTTCATCTCTCTCTGATCTTGACTGTGCCTGTGTGATCCCCTGCTATGAAGGCCTACACCCCAGAATTGTAAGCTAAATAAACCCGTTCTTCCCTAAGTTGCTTTTTGCAGGGTGTTTTTTATCACAGCGACAGAGATGAAACTAGGGTACCCTTTTAAAGCGCTGGCTTCATCACGGTGGTGCAAAGCAGAGGGGCACCGTCCCTGTGGGTAGTGAGGTGAAGCAGGGGGCCTCCTGGGGCTGCACAGCCTTTCTGGGCTCCCAAGTATGGGGGACAGACTCTCCCCAAGGTCCCCTCTTAGCCCTGTTGCTCAAGGCTGTTTCTTTCCTTTTCAGCCATCTGAACCAGAGAGCCACCCCTCGCTCCCAGCACCTGCCATGCCTCTGTCCCAGAACATCAACCAGAACCAGGACGCAGCCAGGCTGGCTACATCCGGCCCCCAGACTCACCCTCGTAGAAGCGTATCTTGTCACGAAGGATCACCATGCCCTTTGTAAGCAGCTGGTTCTGAAAGCGAACAGAGGTGCCATCACCGGCCTGCAGCTACCCTAGGTGGTCTGGCCCCCAGAACCCCCAGGAGTCCACCAACAAGCAGCCAACACGAGACCCACCCTTCTGCCACACAATCAAAACCCCGTGCACCCTGAGAGGCAAGCCTTGAGCCTGCTTGGGCTGTCGCAGGTCACATGACAGAGCGGCATGGCATCCTTTGAGAGACAGACCAAGCCTTCCTCCGTGGCAAGGCCCACACACCTGCAGGTACTCAGTGAAGAAGGACCCCAGCTCCGTCTTCAGCAGCTGCCTGTTGGGGAGGGGAGATGAGAATGAGTTGAGGTCACAGGTGCTGGCGAGGGCTGGAGTCATCCGGGCAGCCAGAGACCCACCTGCTCGGTACAGCAACACAAGCGGCCCAAGAGAACATTTCCCTCTGTGACCCACGGAGCGTCTAGCTCATCATGTATCTCCTCTAACCATCCCACAGAAGGGAAGCCTGAGGGTCCCAGTGGGACCATGACATCTTCTACTTCCTCAAGCTGACACCTGCAGGCCTGACCCCGCAACCCTGGGCTCTTCCATCTTCTACCTGCCTGACCCCCACAGCTGGCAGCACCCTCCTTTATTCCAAGTCTTCACAGAGCCAGCGGCAGGCAGGCACTGACTGGGGCTCCAGCATATAGCTGAGGCAGGAGCAGCTGAGAGAGGTCCGCTACTGTCCCCAGGCCACACAACCCATGTCAGATCAACACAGGAATCGCTACTTTGTGAACAGTGCTTCTCATCTCCAGTGGAGTCATTTTCCGCCCGGATCCCACGCTAAGAAAACATGGCTATGGTAAAGATTTGAATGAGAATGTCCCCCATGGGCTCCGGATCCTTGAGCACTAGGGTCCCCGGATGGTGACACTGTTTGAGGAGCTTGTGGAACCATTTGGAGGTGGAGCCTTGATAGAGGAATTAAGTCACTGGGGGACCACTTCCTGTTTACTCTCGGCTTAAAAGCTTAGTTTTGGAGATGGGAGCTCTCAGCTCCCTGCTCCCCACCACGATGGTCTCTTATCCTTCTAGAGCGTAAGTCCAATAATCTTCCTTCCGTGAGTTGCTGCTGGTCACAGCATTTAATCACAGCACCGGGAAGGAAACCGCTACAGCCACTGACATGCACAATCCTCGTGTGCTGAGCCAAACCCAGCAGAGGCCCTACCTTTGCTGACCGCTGATGTAACCAGTCCTGAATTACAGGCAGCCCTCGCCCATCACGGTTCCGATACACATCAACCCTACTTAACCAGGCTTAAACAACATCCCCAACAGCATGGTCCTCTTTCAGTGACCACAGCGAGTAACTACAGTATAAGCTCCTCCCCATCCTGATGGGTGGCTGAGCAAGCTCCTCCCCATCCTAATTTGGTGGCTGAGGGCAGCACTTTCTTCAAAGCTGCTCTGTGATTGGTCTTATAGATCATCTGTCCTCCAGTTCACACTCAACCCAGCAAGTGGCTCCATCGACTCCTGGGCTCCCAGGAACAACCCCCACAAGATGCTTCATGAAAACAGACAAGCCAGGTGCTGGAAAGGTGACTCCGTGGTAGAGCACCTGCCCGGCACGGACAGGGCTCAGCCCTCAGAACTGCGAACAACAGAAATAAGGACCAGCCACACAGGAACTGGAAACACAGGAGGGCGAAAACTCCAAACACAAACACAAAAACAGAACAAAAAGAGGAAGTGACCAGCAGACGCGAAAGCAAGCCCTCCCCCATGTGCACAGGAAACTGAAAATGCCCACATCCAGAATATACTCACAAAACTGGGTGCAGAGGCACACATCTGCCAGGACACTGTGGTCATCCTTGGCTATATATTGAGTTTGTAGGCCAGCCTGGGCTACAAGAGATCCTGTGTCTTAAAAAAGCAAAAAATGCACCCACTCCATCTAATGAACACAACAGCATGGGTGGGCCCACCTTGGACATGCTCAGAACATAGTCTCCTGTTGGTCCAAACTGACACAAAGCGCCGACTCAGGCAATTTACTGAGTCTTGTACGGAGCATAAAAAACAATGGTTTTGCTGCAAGTGAGATGCTCTGGACAAGCCAGGCTGCAGAGCCATTCCCTAATGTTCATCCATTCATTTTGGACAGGGTCTTGCTATGTAGCTCAGGTTGACCTACAGCTCACTCTGGGGCCTAGGCTGGTCTTAAGCTCACAGTGATCAAGTCTTCAGGAGAAGAAACTGAAATTCAGAAGACATGAAATGTGGTCAGAGTCAGACCCAGGGGCCCCAAATTGGCTCCCTAGTCTTGTGGATTAAAAAGGTAACCTGGCCAGGCATGGTGGTGCCAGCTGTAATGCCAGCACTCGGGGTGGGCAGAGGCAGGAGGATTGCTACAAAAAAAACTTTCCTCAACAGTAAACCCTCTGTGCTCTAAAGAAAGCCAAGGAAAAAGGGGAAGGGATATGGGATGTGGAGAAAAGATTGAAGGTAGCGCCCAGTAAGGGTTTAGACTTCACCATGTGCTATGGAGGTAGCAGCATCATGAATGTGCTGGGCTGCATTCATAGCTATCCAGAGATGCATGTGGCCTGAGGGCTGCAGGCTTGATACACCTGCTAGACCAAGAAACTCACAGCAAAGACAGCTCAGTGACACATGGCCAAGGATGCAAGGCAATGCTTCTCCAAAGAAGATGCACAAGCAGCCAGTGGGCATCAAGAAGATACCCGACACCATTAGTCACCAAGAAATGCCAACCACAGCCACAAGGAGCCACTGTGGCACCCCCAGTGCTGAGAGAATCTCAACCAAAAAGAAATGCAGTGAGAAGCTGGGACCCACTTCACTGCTCATACTCTGGGAAGCAGGGAGCTCCCCAAAACTGAAACCCTGGCACCCAGCAGATCCAGACATACGCTAAGAAAAACAGTATCACATATCCTTGTAAAATCTTGAACAAAGAACCTGGGTACACATCCACAATCCTGGCACTCAGGAGGCTGAGGCAGGAGGATCTCAAGTTCAATGCTAGCCTAGGTTGTAGAGATCATCAGATCCACTCTTTTTTTTTTTTTCTTTTTTCCAAGACAGGGTTTCTCTGTGTAGCTTTGGCTGGAATTAAAGGTGTGTCCCACCACTACCCGGCCAGACCCATTCTTTAAAACCAAAACCAAGCCAGGCAGTGATGGTACATACCTTTAATTGCAGCACCCAGAGGCAGGTAGATCTCTGTGAGTTCGAGGCCAGCCTGCTCTACCGAGAGTTTTCCAGGACAGCCAGGGCTACGCAGAGAAACCCTGTCTTAAAAAACAAACCATAGCCAGGTGGCCCATGCCTTTAATCCCAGAACCCAGGAGGCAGAGACAGGAGGATCTCTGTGAGTTCAAAGCCAGCCAAGGCTAAATGGAGAGTTCCAGACTAGTCACTGATACATCATGAGACCCTGTCTCAAAAGAACAGACAAGACAACGATAACAAAACCCAGAACTAAATGAAAACCCCGAAGTCTTCTGCACAAGGATGTCCACAGCAGTGGCACTCGGTACTCCACCACAGCCACGGGCCACACAGGTGACCAGAGGAAGCAAACTCCATGTCACCACAACTCCAGGCTCCGACACAGAAGCACCAAGGGAATGGCCGCATGCTGTCATGAAATGCCATTCATATGGAATGTCCCGAAGAGGGAGTCAAGAGGGACAGGAAGGAGACATGCTTGCCAGGCTGGGGTGAATAATGAATGGGCTGTTAAAGGGGAGGGACTCTGCTGGAGTGATGCAGAATGAACTGGGAGTTTGGTAATAGTCCCACAACCACAGATGCACACCCAGCACCGACCAGGGCATCTTCAGGGCATCTTTACGGTGTACGAATTGCACGTGAATAAAAGTTGACACAGCCATGTCACAAGCGGCAGGTCCATCGAGGACGGTGGCTGTGCAGGTGCACCATGCGGCTGGAAATTCCCGCCACTGAGCATCGCTGTACCTCGTCCATAACACATAGCACCATGTCACAGTGTCCTAGTGCTCAGGACAGTGACCTGCTGGGGTCTGGGGAGCACTGGGCAGGCCACACTCTGCACCACAGGCATGCAGCTGGATCGATCTACTATCTGGGTTTATGAAGCCAGACTCGGTGATTATCTCACATGGTGGAAGTGCCTGGGGATGCCGATGTGACCAAACCACTCGAGGCTCTGTGTACATGTGCATGCGTAAGTATGTGTACACACATACATATATAAAGGGAGAGAAGAGTGATACAGATGGTGGAGACTTCAATTGTGACTGTCCCTATCTGGATACAGCTGATGGACCTGTCCATGTCACTGACTAGCCCTTACTATGGTGGTTGGTAACTTTTGTATGCAGCCATCAATGGCTCCTGCATCCACCGACTCTCTCGCTGGATCAAAGCCAATGACCAGCCACGCATGTGAAGCACAATCAGATGCAGTTAATGTTTATTTGAGGCAGGGTCTCAAATCTGTTGGGATGGCTTTAAACTCGATATCTAGCTGAGAGTGCTCTTGAACCCCTGACCTTCTGTGTCTACCTCTCCAGCCTTGGGATTACAGGCCTGAACCACTGATGTACTGATGCTCAGCAAACACTCCGCCTACTGAGCCACATTCCCAGCCTTCGTCCTGGTTAATTTAATGTGGAGGAGAGCCAGAGTGGGAAGGGACACTCCTGAATGGCCGTGGACCCTGGAGTTGGGACCTGAGTTCTAGCTCAGTCACCAAGTCACTCAACTGCCAGCCGGTGACCATCCGTAAAATACAGGCAGGGAGGCGTGGACCCGCCGAGGGCCGTGGTGAGTGGAGGGGTCCAAGGTCCCGCAGGCGCTCAGCACATGCTAGCACAGCAATGGGCTTCACCGAGGGAGCCCAGTGCCATTTATGGAAGGATTCCTGGCGTTTCTGCTTTGCGCTGGTATAAAAACAGCCGCCCCAAGCTTATCTGACGGCCCTGAACCCAGCACCTCCCATCACCCTGACTTTTACCCACTTTCTAGCCAGGAGCTGGGACACAGGGTGGTTCCTCTAAACCTTTACCCCTCCAACCCATCCCAGGGAGCAGGGCAACCCCTAAGGGCTGGAGGCATCTTAGAGAGGAGACGGCAGCCCCACTCAAAAGTGCCAAGAGAGATGCACAGTGCTGGGCTCCACCTACTCTGTGGATTTAAGATTGTTTAGACTTGTTGTAAGAAACTCACTAGGAAAATGGGTCCCCTGGGCTGGCCAGATGCGCTTCGAATAGCGGGGTGCCACAAGTAAGCCACAGCTTACAAGGGCCTGGGGAAGCACCCTGGGCCTCAGTTTACCCACATAAGGGCTCTTTCAGGTGGGTGTGGGGTCGCTGGCCCATTTACACCCCCTGCCTTCGCTACCAAGGGAAAGGTTCACTGCTGACTTTTCCAGATACGCTCTGAATCCAGGGACAGGATGCTCCGGGTCAGGGCTGGAGGTTAATAGTGCAGAGTGGAAACACCTCACAGTACCAGCTTGTGTGACCGACCATGGGGAGGCAGCAGGACCATGCTGAACCTCCAGCCTCCTCCACTAACAAATGCTGACTGCAAGCTCTCTCAAAGCGGCCATGGCCTGGTTTACGGCAGTCGCCTGAGTGCGTTTCTCCGTCCACAGCTGCCTCACAACTTGGTTCTCAGCTAGTCACAGGAAATGAGGGGTGTTCGTGGCTGGACTGCTTCCTGAATGGCAGTGGGTCATTAAGCAGGTGGGCCCTTCCTCTTCTGACAGAATAAATATCCTTCTGTAATGCACCGGGGCGGTGGCGGGGAATGTGGACATTATCTCAAGCCGCTAAGTTCCACCCTGCTGGCCCGAGACGGGCGTCCCCAGGAGGGTGGGGTGTGGACCTTCCCTCCCCCTCCCCCAGCCACACAGATGGGTTTCCCAGACAGGACTGGCTTGTACTCACCGGACACCCTCGTTGAGGATGAAGAGCTCCTGGTCGGGCAGCCCCTTGCGCTGGAAGACAGCGATCACGCCGTTATGGATGCTGCGGGCAGACAGGAGAGTGGTCACCCAGAGGCACTGGGCCCCTCGCTTCCCTCTGGGCCTGGCCCCTCCCACCTCTCCAGTCCCATCCAGTCCTACTCAGCCCCTCCTGAAACCATGGGTGTGCCCATGCCCTAAGTCCAGGTCTGGACTCCTGACACAAAGTCTGGCATCCTGTGGGCACTGCCGTCCAACCTGGGCAGACCTTCCCTTCCTTCCTGCACGCTTTTAATCCTCCCAGCCGGGCCAGATACTCGGGGCCCTCCACATCTCTTCCCTCTCTGTTTTCCTTGTGTCCGCCTAACTTTGCCTCCACACCCCAATACTTCCAGCCCCATGTTGGAGCCACTGGGGTCCCAGCCCCCACAGCCCTTTCCAATGTCAACAGTGACACTGACCCTGTCCAGGCCCTGCTGATTAAAACCCTCTGAAGCAGGACGCTGCAAACACTTTTCTCTAAAGGGCCACAGGGTTAGCTGTTAAAGGTCTGAGGCCTACCCAGCCTCCTGCAGCTACCCAGCTATCTGCTGAAGTTAGGAATGTGGGACTGTATACCAATAAAACTTTATTGTTCATACATCAGGTGATGGATTGGGTTTGGCCCATGGGCTTGCTTCAGCAGCCCCTGAGATGAACCTGCCTAGGCATTAACCTAGGCTGCCATGGCTGAGCCCACAGCCCCGGAGGCCCCCCCCCACACACACATAGCAGCTGACCATCATCTCCTAGGCCAGTCCAGGTTGAGTCTCTGCCCAGCTCCCCACCCACCCCTTGGGTCCTGCACTCACTCCAACCTGATGGATGAGCTAGCTGAGCGAGGGGCAGGCCTGGGTTTGCATCCTGTTCTGGCTTCCAGACCTTGGTGTTCCTTTCCATATAAATGAACTGAGTGAACATGGCGTCTACATCCTGGGGGCCTCCAAGGCCTCTTTAGAGATGGGTACTCAGGACACCTGGCCACATCCAACCCAGGGGCCACTCACTGCATGTGGCCTCTTTGGTGTTCTAAGCACCAGCACGTGGTGGGGACAGTCAGACCCCAATCAGAGAAGAAAACACTGAGTCTTCATGAGGTCAAGGGACACATCTATTCAGCAGGACCAGAACTGAGATGAAGTCATGGCTCACTGTCTTCCTGTCCCTCATGTTTCGGGTACACAGGTTAGACCCTGATCCTTTTGACTCTCCCTAGCTCTAAGGCTCCGTGGGCTTTCCAAAGCCCACCCCCCCCCAAAAAAAAAAAAACAAACAGAAACAAACAAAAATCCTGTCAGCTTGGAGAAAGGGAGGATAGAGAGGGCCAGAGGACTTCACATGATTTGTCATCCTGAAACACAGAAGTGAAACCCCGCCTATCTCAACAACAGCCTCCTGGCCAAAGTGGCAAGCCCAGTCAGGACATCTGCAGATGGTCCCCAGGAAACCACAGGCACGGAGGGACTTCCGGGAGAGGGCAGGGGAAGACATCCTCAGGTGTGGAGCCCCACCCCTCTCTAGCCTCCACTGGAAAACCAGGCCCCCAGTGCAGGCAGGCCAGGTCCCAGCCTCGGAGCCTGGATCACTTCACTAGGTGGGCACAGGGAGAAGCAGAAAGTTCAGCCTAAGGCAGACTCACAATGTCACCAGGAGGCTGAGATTCCGGCAGAGAAGTGTGTGTGTGTGTGGGGGGGGCAGGGCACCATTTTCCCCAGATCCTGGCCTGCACTGGACTCCCCCAGAGGCATCTGAGGACATGGAGATAGAAGCTTGTTCCTTCTTTGCCAGGGGCTCTCCTGAATGTACCTGGAAGCTGGGCTGACAGGCAGCCATGGTGCCACCTCAGACCTTAGTTCTTAGTGCCTAGGCCCAAGCAAGGAAGAAGAGCCAGGGGTGAACATCTCGACTGCTAAAGACACTTAGTAGCCTACAGCAAGCCAAATCTGCTCTGACACCTGGGAGGCAAGGCACCCATCACTCACCAGACTGGGCTAAATCCCAGCATAGCACGTGCCTCCTGGGGAGGCTCCAGGCTGTATGTTCCACCTTGTGGGACTTCTAAGCACCTGTGTCCTTTGCTCCAGGTCCTTCCTTGTCCTCAAGGACAGCAAGGCAGGACTCTAGATCTCAGCTCCCTGATTACACCTCTTTCTCTGACTTGGCCCACCCATCACAGATTCTGTGACCACACAAAGCCACCTAGACAGGCTGGGGGCCATCTCTTCGGCTCAGCAACCGTAATTTAACCACATTTGCTGAGTCTGCTAGCCACGTGAAAGCCCACATCCACAGGCTGAGAACGAGGGCAGGGACACTTTTGGGGGCCACCACTCTGCTGACCACACCTAGACTGGGGTCCAGGGCAGAACAAGGCGAGTGAGGGCCCAGAACCCTAGGGCCCTAGCCTGGATGCTTTTGGCTCAGTCCTCTGGTCCTTAAAGACCCCATGGGCTGGAGGCTCCCATAGACTTGAGAGTTGAACCTGGGTGGGATCTGGCCTCCGTTCCTTCTCACATTTTGGGCCTACGTGGTTCCTGCAGCTCTCCGAATCCCAGTTTTCTCATCTCTATATCAAGTGTACTCAACTCCTCCCTACGGTTCCTGCTCCTTATTCTCACCTCGGCTAGGACCACCTGCCCTGGAAAGACAGCTCTAAGCTAACCCTTGCTCCCCCCTGCCCCGGGTGGAACAGGAACTCAGAGGCATCCCTGACACCGGGCTCCCCAGACACTGCCATCAGGGGGTACCTTGGTCACCTCCTTCCTCTGATGCCCTCATTCTCTTTACTGACAAGGAGAAGGACAGCCCACTTGGGAGGAGGAGGCAGGCTGGGGGCAGGGGGTGCACACCTTGCTTTGCAGGGGTCCCACACTTTGGGGTGTACTTTCTCCTGCTCCTGCCTGCCCAGGACTTCCACCTGCTGGGGGACAGAGGTGAGGCATTGGTCGAGGGATGGCTCAGAAGGCTTGGATTCCCCCGTGTGTTCCCCTAGCCCTTCGGATCTGTTGTGGATTCTTGACATCTTCTAGGAGTTTGTTGGGAGCCTCTGGGCTTGGCAGGCTAGGGACAACAGCCAGGGCACATCCCTGGCAGGGGGAAGCTGTGAAGTCAGGTGGGGAGGCCTGTTGTGCCCTTGAGCTCTGGGAAATCAGCAGCAGGTGCCCGGGAACAGCTCTGGACTCCAGGTGCTGGGAGGGGGCAAGGCAGCATGCCACGCCTCTTTCAGAGAACTTCCCAGGCCCCTGCACACCCAGCGGACATGGAGAGCAGGGGCAGACCTGGTCGCTAGCAGTCCAGTGTCTCCTGCTCTACTTCCTCCAAGTGCTAAGTGCCACCCGCAATTACCTCCCCCACTGACAGCCCCCTTGTCTGCTTTCTGACTCAGTCTAAGGTCTCCGGCTCTGAGCAGGCTGTTTGCTGCTAAACCAAGATCTCAGCCTGGTCCAGCCTGTAAGGATTCTGTCCTTAATTTCTGTCAACAGCCTGCGACAGTGTCCCAGCCTAAAAGTGGGCGGGCCCTCTGTGCGCCCCTTTCTCTTTCTGCTCTCTCTCCTTCCGTCTGCCCCCCCCCCCCCTCTTTCTCTCTCTCTCCCCCCTCCCTCTCCGCCAATAAAGCTCTAAAAAGGTAACCATGGCTTGTGATTCTTCCGACCAGCACTCTCCTCCATAACCAACACAGCCAACACCAAGAAAATGAATGAATGAATGAATGAATGAATGAACACATGACTGAGTGCGTGGACTATCTTAGGACACAGCAGCAGCTGTGCAGGGAATTTGGGGGATGCACTCACTGTCACTGTAGTGGGTCGGACACCTGTCCCTGGGGAATTTGTGTAAAGCTAAAGCTTCCAATCTGACTGGGAAAAAATTAGCTACAATGGGCCAGAAGTCAAGGGATGAAGCGGTCCTGGGCTGAGGTGGCCTCATAAACAAAAGACACTCGGGTCAGGTGTGGTGGCACATGCCTGCAGTCTTAGCACTTGGAGAGGTGGAGGCAGGAGGATCAGAAGTTCAAGGTCATCTTTGGCTCCATAGTGAATTCCAGGTCAGCCTGGGATATGTTGGGACCGTGTCTCAAAAAACAAAAACAAAACAAAGCTAGGGAGCTGGAGAGGTGACTCCGCAGTTAAGAGCACTGAACTCCTCTTGCAGAGGGCCCGGGTTCAGTTCCCAGCACCCACGTGGTGACTAACAACCACCTGTCACTCCACTCCCAGGGGATCCAACACCTTTTTCTGGCCTCTGCAGGCACTAGGCGCGCATGCACACGCACACACTCACACACGCGCACACACACACACACATAGAGGGGGGTAAAATACTCATTCGTACACACTAAATAAAAACAACAAGAAACAACAGCAAACAAATCAAAACAAAACAACAACAACAACAACAAAAAACCTAGAAACCCACCACTCCCCTACAAAACTCAGAGACCTGGCTAGAGAAGGTTCTGTAAAGACAGAGACGGAACTAAACTGAAGCTGCCATGAGCCCATGACAGCAGAGCCAACAGAGGCAAAGCCAGGACCCTCTCTAGAGTCCCCAGAGGTGGACGGCCAGGCCACACCCCCACTTCTTATTGTGCCAGAACACACTCCTGTTGTTCGGGGTGGTCCAGTGTGGTATGACTCTACAGCCCCAGGACACTAATGAGGTCACGGAGGAAAAAGGGGGCACCTTGGGCTCAGAATGAGGGCCATAGCTTGGAGGCCTAGCCAGGATCTACAGGCTGATCCCGCTGTGGGTGATCGGGCTCAGGGCTGATATCCTGGAGCCCTTGCAGGCAGTATACTGGGAGAGGAGCAGGAAGATAGGCAGGGGCTGGGAGGGGACTCTGGGCCCATGGTCCCAAGCCCCTTCACTTCTTTTGGGAGGGGATCAGGAATCAAGCAATGCTCACAGTATGGGTCCCAGGTGCTCTGGGTAACCCTGTATCTCTCATATGGGGTGGAGGGTAGAACCCCCCTCATTGGCTAAGATTGTGGCAAGGTGAACTGAAGTCCCTGAACATGATAGGAACACAGAACACAGCAGAGCCCCAAAGGCTGGAGACAGGCGCTGTTGAGGTACTGTGGGGGCTGCCATCAAGCTTCTGCAGTCTGACAGGCCACCAAAGGAAAAACCCGTGGAAGACTTGGGTGACCTCTCCTTGCAAAGACCCCCCAAGAGCTCTGGCAAACAGCAGACCCCCTCACCACCACACAAGGTGAGGAGCCATTCTAAGCCCTCTGAGCCAGAGGACCCCAGATGGGAGTGAAAGGGGTCCCCCCAAAGTTGCTTTTAGCAACCCCCCAGACATCACTCCTAGAGGTGTTCTCTCCACGTGCCTTGACTTGAGTTCTGGATCACAGGGTACCTACCTACTGTGTGCCAGAAGCCATGCTCAGAGCCTTATTACACATTCCATATTTAATCCCACAACAGTCACTCACCCATATTACTGATAAAGAAACTGAGGACCAGAGATGGTAAGCAAACTGCTTAAGGTCACACAGCAGAGAAGTGGAGTTGATATCTGAGCCAAAAAGTCAGCGTGGCTCCACTAAACCCTGGCCAGAGACAAGGAAGGGGATGAAGACAGTAGTGAGCAGTTCTGGGGCAAAAAAGAGTCTCCCTTCTCTCACTGTTCTGCTCCCAGCCCAGTCAGGAGAACTGTGCAGGCCTAGGATAGAGGGAAACTGAGGCAGGGAGGTAGTCTTGGCTCCTAAGCAATCTGCAGCTTAGTGGAGGGGTGGAAGACAGGGTCCCAGCTGGCAGCCCCATCTTCCCCGGGTTGCTCACTAGACTAGATGAACAGAAGATGTGTGTCCAAGTGACAGCCGGGTCCCTGGTGGCAGACCACAGCGGGTGAAGCACCTGGCAGGCTTTCACTGCCAGGTGGAGGGGTGGAGTGGAGAGCCAGCCTCCACAGACCTCCCTCAACAGCCTGCCTCACACTCCCTCGATCCGTATTTTACTTGGGGTGGAAATACTTATTTTTGAAGGGGCCAAGAGGAGACCCATTGGGGAACTCAGCTAAAAGAACTATCTGTGACTCGGGGCTCTGCTAGCACAGAGGGGGGAGGGGCTTCCCACGCCCGGCTGGTCCGGGATGGGCCTCCGGAAGGGTCCGGTAAGGAATGTCTGGCAGCTGCCGCACCCCCACGGACAGCTGGGAGGCCCGGGGTCCAACTCGGGGGAAGCCACCGCCCACCCCGCGCCAACAGCCCGACACGCATACAGGAAGTGCAGCGGCGCCCCGCTGGGGCCCCACGAAGCTCAAGTGCGCCCCTGCGAAGTGAGGGGGGGGCGCAGGGTCCTCCTGCCCCGGGCCGCCCGCCCCCGGGGCGCGATCGCGGGCTCGAGCCGCCGACACGTTGCACTCACTTCCCTCCCCGCGCGCGGCCCGGCGGCGGGGCGAGCTGCGCGCAAAGTGGCGCGGTGCCGTCTCCGGCCACGCCGCTCCGGGCTGCGCGCCTTACCTGTTCCAGGTGGCGTTGGCGCAGGCCCGGCGCTGCTGCGTGCCCCGCTCGTCCGCGCCCGCCGCGCCCGGCTCCCTCTTGCCCAGGTCACTGAGGCTGGGCGAACTCATGAACTTCAACCTGCGGAGAGTCCTCATGCTCACCCCGGCCCACGCGCGCCCGGCGTCCCCTACGACTATACTCGGCTGCTAGCCGCAAGCCTGGCGACCCCGTGGGGTCCCGCCCCGGCCCCGCGCCTCCGCCCGGGGCCGCGCGCCCAGCGCCGGGCCCTGTGAACCATTGCTCGCGGCGGCGCAGCGTGGAGCGCTCGGAGCGCAAAAGCAGGCCGGGGGCGGGGCCTCCCTCTGGGCGGGGCCACGATGGGCGTGGTCTCGCGTTGGGAGGGCGGGGCTGGCGTCTTGGAGCCCTCAGCGGCCAAAGGGCCAGTTCAGGGGGCGCTCTCAGCCGCCTCCTCCCTTCCCTTAGGAAGCCACCACACAAGAGCCACACAGCAGTCCAACCCCAACTGCCCACCCGGCACCCAACACTATGGTCACATACACACACCATGCACAGGGACCCCTGGTCTCCCATCAACGTCTCCTGAAGTCACCCCCTCGCCAGTCATCCATCCCAGGAGAAAAGGCTGTGCCCACAGAGATCCATCCAGACCCCTTCACGTGGGCACAAGCTCCTCCCACTGCGGATCAAAGCTTTCAGGCGGGTTCCTCAACCATCAGCCCCACCCCACCTGAGTCCAGCTTGAACCAGGCTGTCCTAGACCTCTTTCTTAGGGGAGGGGCCAGGGACTAGGGTCCTCTCTCAGGCAGGGATCCTGGATGATTGACTGGCGAGACTAGGTTCCCCTGTATGGTAGAAGTCAGGGAGTATCCTAAATCCTTGTGCCTGGGCAAGACGATCCTGGGACAGAATGCCACACAGCCTTGGGGCACCGAGAGCAATCTGGATTCTACCTGTTGGGGATGTTGTGGCATCCAGAGTAAAATAACCTCTCCAGGGTTTTGCCACTCAAACATGGCAAGCCGGACCTAACCCAGGCCTCCTGAACACACGGTGCCCAACCCCTGACACAGCCGACCTTCTGAGAGTCCCACTAGTTTTGCCTGCCATCTCCAAACACAGGGGACAGGCGTGGCCCCTGGTGACTTGCAGGAGAGCAGAGTCATGGTTCAGTTACAATCAGCCAGCATTTCCTAAGCACCCACTGTATACCGGACACCCCCACATGCCTGTCTTAGGAGGCAGTGATAAACAGACAACTCCTTGTTCACAAGAACTCTCCCAGAGCCTAAGGCCACTCAAGCTACCGTCACGGCCGGGGAAGGGCTGG